AATAGTAATTACAAAAAGTTATTTCTAATTTTACTTAATTAACTTTTTATATAGACATAGATATACGCCAAACGGCGCTATTAAGGAAATCTGCGAAAAGATTTTTTTTGGAGTTTTATACCCAAAAATGCTGAATCTTCTTTGATTTCCTTTTTTTAGGTATTAAAGTATAGAAAAAAATAAATATATATATAATAGTTATTATACCAGAATTTATATTAAGTTTGCATCAATACTATATTAATGTATCAAAGTTATATAAATGTATTTTTATCAATCTGATACGTAATAATTATATATATATTTTTTCTTTTTATCACGATGATAAATGTATATTTTATATGGTATACCTGGAGAAGAAAAAAATATATATATTTATTTCAAATTGTTATATTTGCAAACTGAAAATTCATGCAGGTAATGAAGGATTTTAATAACATACTGAGAAAGTATTGTTGCTTCACGACTGATAGTTTTGCAATAACTCAGGGCTTTCAAAACGTTCGCCATGTTGCCCCGCTTTCCCCTACATATACATCCACTACAAAGTGAACTGACTCGTTTATGTGTATTATCTAAATGACTTTTACCTTTCTCAAACAATATACCAAAAAATTGTTTATTACACACAAAAAAATTCTCTTGATATAACTATATTTAATCACTTAAAATATAACTATGGCTGAAATGCAAGAAGGGAACTCGACTTGAACTTTACATTGCAACCAATAGCGACAAAGTATTGGTTTTCCTCTCAAAAAATACTCTGCCGCTATTGGTTACAAAGTAAAGTTCAAGTCGAACTTGACTCAAGTTTGCTTCTTGTATTCCACCCTATATTTAACATAATCATAATATATATCAATCACATTGTAAGGGCTTCGTGATAAGATCATGACAATCTTCTTGAAGTCCGGCCCGTACTATTTAATTATAAATTTTATTACATATTTTGACTCACGAGATTTGCAAATATTACACCTTTGATTTTCGAAACTTGTAAATGTTATATGTACGGCAAAATATAAGAATATAAAAAAAAAAAAATTATCTTTTTGAGATCCATCATCTCCTCCATATCTCAAGACTTTATTATCTCCTCCATATCTCAAGACTTTATTATTTCCTCCATATCTCAAGACTTTATTATCTCCTCCATATCTCAAGACTTTATTTGTAAGTTGTTTTATCTTAAATTGCTACATTTTGAACTTGCTTGAAAAAGTATGGCACTAAAGTACGAATGTTTTTATAATAAAATACCTTGGGGCTTGGCTATAGATAAGTCTATGAACTTGATTTTTTGATAAAAGCACGTATTGGTGTTTCTTTTCAATGAATGTAACTTGATATTAGTTATATATTATTGATAGTGTTAATTTTTCTACCAAAGTTATTTTTGCATAAATAATTATAACTTTAGCCCCATTTAAAAACTGTTTTCGGTATTTACTTTTGAAATACTCGTGACTTATTCGGCCATCTTGAAATAAAAAATTATGACATTCAGAATGCATAAACAATTAAAAAACAGAGGCGGAAAATTTTATAAATAATATACATTCAATTCGAATTCTTTGATTGCATAAATTAAATACCAATAACTAAAAAGTTTTTCGGTTTGCCGATTGGATTTGTTTTAAATTATCGGCTTTTTTTTTTTTTTTTACGAGTTTGTTTGTTCTATGCCTTAGTTGCATTGAGTAGTGCTAATTTGCTTTACTTATAAAAATTTTATTTTATTCAGACAGTTATTTTTATCCTCTTTGGTTAAAAAATAATAATAATCTGGAATTCAACTTGTTGAATAGTTTTAGTTTCAGTAAAATGACTTTCGTGGGGCATATCGGGACAACAAGTTATTCATGTTATTGCTTATATTACTACCATTTCGTTTATATTTATAGTTTGATGATTTTATTTTTAATCAAAAAATTTTTTTTTGCTTAGTTAGAAAAGCAATATTAGATGGTAAGAAATTATAAAAAAAAGATCAATCATCCAAAATGAAATCAAATTCAGTTTTAGCTGTGAGTAGAGTTATTCAAAAGTTTTTTCCAAAGGAATCTGTAAGCATGATGTGAGTTGAACTACTGCGTGATCAGCTGAACACGCAGTAGTTTAACTCACTTGATGCATACAGATTTCTATAAAAAATCCTAACTTACTTTGGGCATTTTTATAGATTTATCTAAAGCGTTTTATAAAATCAATCACAACATTCTCATAAAATAACTTAAACAATAATGGTATCACTAACAAAGTATTAACATTATTAAAAAACGACTTAAAAAAACGTAAATAGTTTGTTACAGTTGATGAATGGTTGTCTTCCAATGTTGCATACAAAGTTTCATAAAATAACACTATTATTACATCTTTATAGTAATGACCTCCATTGAGCCTCTAACTTAATGACAATAATGTTTGCGGATGGCACTATTCTTTATTTATCCAACAGCAACATCAATAAATTTTCATGATATGAATAATAATCTTAAGAAAGTTTCCGACTGGTTTTCCGACTGGTTTTCCGACTGGCCATGGCTTACTAAATATTTATTTAGTAAGCCATGGTTTTAAATAAATAAACTTTCGCTGATCATCAAAAAAACAAAATGGATTCTCTTTCATCCAGCTTCAAAAAACATTTGCTTCTGTGTAAAATGTCTGTGCTTATCATTTATAACTCTACTCACAGCTAAAACTCAATTCGTTTCTCCGCGCAGCGGCCTTGTTCGTCAAGGTTCGTGTTTCGGAGTTATAGAGTTGAGAGAGGGTTATAGCCACAAATAAGAAGCCTCCTCGTCTGTAGTGGCCTTCTCGGCCTTGAGGAGGTGAATTAAACAAAAAAAAAAAGAAAAAAAAAAAAGTAAAAGTTTGATATGCCAATTAAAAACCTTTGAAATAAATTTTGTGGTTTTGTAGTTATATAAATACACGGTTCGAAAATTTATTTTCTCATGGTCACCTTGACAACATTATGCAACTAACGTCAGTTCACAAAAAATCCGGACTGACTTCAAATGTACACAAATTGTTCTAAATTTCGAATTTTCGATTCGAAATTTTTAAATTTAATCGGTCAACAACAACAGTTTCATTTTGTGGCAAAATTGAGTTTAAATAATTAATTTAAATAAACATGGAGCATCTAAAAGATGTTCTCTTTTTAGAAATGTGATTGGAAATTTTTATAAACAAAACATAAACAGTGGAAAGAAATTTACAGTGGATCATTTTAAGAAAATGGGAATCACTAAACCTACAATTTATGACATAATTAAAGGCAGAAAACCTTTTAAAAATCACACCAGAAAAGATAGAGTCCATGATTGCAAGAGCAGAAGAGAGAATTTCGCAAAGAAAATTGGCACTAAAATATAAGATAAGCGTTTCATAAGTAAATAGATTATTAAGTATGCATGGACTGAAGTATACCAAAAGAAAAAATGCACCCAAAACAACAGAAAAGCAAGAAATTAAACAAAAGAATAACTTATTAAAACTTTCAAAAACTTTTTTCAAGCCATCAAATGAGTTTGAAACCATCATGGACGATGAACCTTATTTCTGTGTAAATGGTGCAAATTGTTCACAAAACTCTGGCTACTATACAAAGGATAGTTCTCAAACTGATCCTAACATTAAATTCAACTTCAAAAAAAAGTTTGACCAGAAAGTTCTCGTTTGGATTGCAATCAGTAGTTTCGGTCATTCATCGCCTTAATTTTGCTGTAAAAAACTGTGCACTGGATGTAAAAACTTATTCTAAAGAATGTATTACAAAAAGACTTCATCCATTTATAAATTCCAAGCATCAAAACATGAAAATTTTATTTTGGCCTGACGGAGATGTCATTATGCAAAACACACATTAGAAACTTATAACACTTTAGGTATTAACTTTGTCGACGCTAAAGATAACCCCCCAAATGTACCGCAGTTAAGGTCAATTGAAAATTTTTGGGCACATTTAAAAGCAAAAGTTTATGGAAATGGATTTACTGCGAAAAATCTTGACCACTTTAAGAATAGAATTCAATTAAAGTTGAAAGAGTTCGATCCAGACTACTTTTTCAATCTAATGGATTCAGTCAAAACTAAAGTTCGAAAAGCCCCTGATTTAAGACCACTTTTGGTTATAAAATAGTTAACGAAGTCCAGTCTCTCATTTTAGTTGAAATTTTTGTCAAAAATTTATTAATTTTGTATTCAATTAAGAACAACTTTTCATTCCGGATTTTTTGTGAACAGACGTTAATAACTCAAAGTTTATTATAAATTTTCATTCATTTTATATAATATGTACAAATAGCACTAAATTAGTTTTTAAACTTATTAAGAATATCATAATGCGTCTTTTACACTTTTAAACTTTTAGATAAAAATCACCCCGGGTGATTCACCCCTGGATTCTAAAAATTCTAGCACAAAGCATCAGGTCCCGATGCTTTGTGTTGGAATTTTTAGAATCCAGGGGTGAATTTGAGTCATCACCAACAATCCTAAAAAATGAATCATCACCAACGGTTCTAAATTTTCAGAATTTAGAATCGTTGGTGATGATGATAATTTCCATGGAGTATTCTTATAAAACCCTCTAGTCACTACTTAAATCATTTAAAAAAAGTTTCTATAATAAATTAGTCGTTAGAAGTTAAGTAACATCAAAATTACCCAGTCGGCACGGACGTAAAAAGGACGTTTTATAAACGTCTTATACACGTTTTAGACGTCTTTTAAACGTCTTTTGAACGTTTTGGACGTCTTTTGAACGTTCAAAAGACGTCTTTTTTTGGTTTTGTGGCCACTGGCTAACAACTAAATGATGTTTAGTTTTGATATTACTCTTTTTTTCTAATGGTCTTTTAAAATAGTTTGGGGAACTAGTTGCTTCATCAATTGTTTTAAACAAAGATTTAAAGAGAAGCTCATTCTGATGAAGATTACAGCCTATAGTGTGAAGTTTTTTCTGTAACCCAGAAACCATTCCTACTTTATGACATGTCTATAAATAAAGTTGATGTAGTTGCTATATCATCAAACAGCTCTGAAAGATCAAGTGTAAAAGCATTTCTTAGCTTCCTATATCTAATGAAATTAATAAACTTTGGAAGCTATGAGTAAAAATAATGTTTAAAAATAAACTTTTTGATCAAAAAAATAATTTTGAATTTAAAAAATCACAATATTCAATTAACTGATTAGAATTTAATATATTTCATTATAACTCAAGTGTCTACTTTTAATATATTTCATCATAACTCAAGTGTCTACTTTTAATATATTTCATCATAACTCAAGTGTCAACTTTTTAAATCGAGACTTGAACTCTAGAGATTTACCTCACTCAATCAGATTCTCAACTCACTCAATCAGATTCTAAATCAATTTTTTTACTCTATTTTTTTATATATAATCTTTCTTCTACAGGAACCTTAATATTAAAGGATAATATTGAGCAACTTTTATTTATGACTTTATCATATTACTAATATAAAATTAGTGTTTATAGTAATACACTAGTGGGGTAGAGTGGGGCATATAGGGACACTTAAGAAACATATAGGATAAAGCATATAGGGACACTTAAGAAAAATGGGACTGTTAAAAAGCAGCAGTTATTTGTTAATTGTAAAGCTTTGAAAATGAAAAAAAATGAAGGCTATTTATCATTTAAACATGTTCAGATGGTTGATCTTTTTTTTAGATATTTTAGGGTAAAAATTTTTGAAACTTGAAACAAATGTTTATAGACATATGTTAGGAGAGATTGTAATTTTATTTCATAAAATTCCTTACCGTTTATAATTTACAGCAATTTGAAGTTTCCTTGATTTTGACTAAAAACTGAGGGGGGAAAAGTGCCGAAAATCATTCCGTTTGCTTTCACCTTAATATGGTGCTTGTAGTGATGCCACAATTCTGAAACTTTGTACCAAAAGAGTTTAAAACCTGTTAAATTCGACAAATATAGTTTTTTATATGTCAAAACAAAAAAAAATTTAATTTCAATTTTCTTAAAAATAAGATCATCACCTACTTTTCGAACCAATCTTGTTTTGGCCTTATATTCACTTGAGGAATAATTGATGTTTGATATAGACTGGGGTTATATTAAGTGTATAATTTTTTAAATTATACACTTAATATAACCCCACCTTTTACCAATCAATCAAATTAGAAACTAAAAATTTAGTGACTTTATTATATTTTTCATTTTCATATGATATTTACAAGAAAATTTAAACGTATATAAATTTTTTTTTTAAAATATTAAACTTTAGTGATTATATATATGCTTTACATTCACATTATTTACAAGTTGGTTCACAAAACATAATATTTTAAAAGAGAATGGATAAGACATAATAGACTCATAAATATAGAAATCTCTACTTCCTTAGGAAATTAATTTTTTTTAATCCTTTTTGGCTAAATAGTAGCAAGGTCCTGTTTTGTTATCGGTACCTCAATTTCGCAAATAATGTGGACATCAGGAATCCAGCATTGGCTTTCCTTTAGTGACCATTTAAACGACCATGCAGGATCATTAGGACACATAAATTTTACAAGCACATCTTTTTCTTCTAAATTAATACCTTCAATGACTCCTATCCACCACACATAGGAAACACAGGCATAATCACCTGGTACTAGGTTTACAGTTGTTATCTGGATATTTCCAAAGTCATGGATTAAAGCAAATTCTTCATCAATACTGCCTAGCTTAGTGCCTACCTAAACAAAATAGTAACATATGCAATTATTCCCTTTTACTTATCAAACATGTTTTATTAAATGCATAGATAGCAAATGCAGAGGAAATAAAATAAAATACAAATATTTTTGATAATGATTCTGCAAAAATCTAATATCTATTTGAGTTTATCAATAAAAGTTATGCGTGTATTTTAAAATATGGTAAAAGGTATAATCAAAAAATAATAATTTACCTTTTGATGGCCAAGTGGTACAAACTGATGGTAACTACGTGTTCCAGGTATTGTATTAGCAGTATCCAATCGTTCTTTAAGAGCGGTTCTCACCAAAGTTAAATCTTCTGATGAAATATATATGAAATTTATGCCTTCAATGTTTTCATTGCAATATTTATACATTGTTTGTGGAGATAAAATATGATTATCCATATCTCTTTACAAACTTGCTAGTGTTGCCAGACGTTTGACTGTACCACCTATCCCATCACAAGGTTGCTTACCGTGACTAGTTGCAAAAAAGTTCCATTTAGCAGTAAAACCAAAATCTTCACAATGGAAACAAAGATTTAACATACTTTTGCAATTCTTATATTGACCTGCACACCCATCTGAAAAGTATTCAATATTTTTTTATTTAAGACAAATTTGTTTTTATATCATTGCAAACAACCTCAATAATTTTATAAACTGTGTCATATATTATACATGTATATATACGGCCCGATCTTATATATCGGTGCCGGTCTTTAAGGAGAATATATTATGAACACAACATGGCGCTACGAGTATGTAAAGAAACGTGAAAAAAATAATCGTTTTTGTTTAAAGATTATCTTGTTTAATCTTTTGAATTGTTGCATTAAAATAAATAAAAAATGACAGAAAGTGGTAAGGGAGGTGTTTTTCCTCCAATATTAGATTTAACTGTTGATAGATTCGCTGCATTTTGCTCATGAATTGAGCTGCTATGTTAAGATATACATTTTCTTCAGAAACTCGAAACATTTACGAATCATTAAATCTAACCGAATATGAAAAAACGGATCCAGCTATTATATTGGAAAAAATGGAAGTGTTTGCTAAAGGTATTATTAATGAGACTTTAGAAAGACATAAATATTTTAAACGTTTTCAAGAAGATGGTGAATGCTTTGATGATTTCTTAACCGAAGTAAAATTACTAAGTAAAAATTGCAACTTTTGCAATACTGAAGACTGTTTTGGCAGTTTATTAAGAGATAAAATTGTATATGGAATACGGCGTGACAAAGTACGTGAGAAATTACTTTCTGAAAAAACTTTGACACTCGATAAAGCAATAGAAATTTGTCGTTCTTCAGAAAAAGCACAAGATGGTGTATCTGAATTGCGAAATAATAACAGTGAAAGTGTTGACCGCATTGGAAAACAATTGTACAGTAAAAACAAATTTAATTCACCCACACAGAACAGTAATAATACAGATTTTAAATTTAACTCATTGCTATGTAAATTTTGTTTAAAAAAGCATCCTTTTATTTGGGGATTGTGTCCAGCCTGGGGTAAAAAATGCAGAGACTGTAAAATTATGAAAACTTCTCAAATAGTTCAGTTTGCCTAAAAAAAAAGCCAAATATTTCTGATATATGTGTTGATCAACAGAATGATAGTAACAGTTTGTCAAGTATGCATCATCTTGGTGTATTGTTTTTAGGAAGAGTCGGAGCAGATTGTGCTATAAGACCTTGAGATATACAATTAAAAGTAAAATATGGAAAAATAACATTTAAAATTGACACAGGTGCTGAGGTAACAGTTATAGGAACTAACCATTTAAAAAAGTTTGGAATTAAAATTGAGCATTTATACACTACTAATAAACGATTAATAGGTCCTGATTATAAGCCACTCAATTGTCTTGAATATTTTCAAAAATCATTTTCTATAAACGGTCGTAACAGTGAATTAATTACTATATATGTATGTGATAATGTGCAAACTGCTTTATTGGGAAAAACTGCCTTACAAAAGTTTAACTTAGTTAAAGTAGACATTCCTGAAAGATTTATGTGTGCTATGATTTCCAAATCAAAAAGTAACATTATAGAAAAGTTTCCTCTAGTTTTCAAGGGGTTAGGGACTATTAAAGGTAACCCTGTACATATTACAACTCAAGAAAATGCTACACCGTACCACATTGGAGCACCACGACGTGTAGCGTTCCCACTACTAGAACCGTTGAAGATAGAACTAGAGCAAATGAAAGAGATGGATGTTATCAATCTACAGATTGGTGTCATCCAATAGTAGTTGTGAAAAAACCAAATGGACTACTTCGTATTTGTATTGATTTAACACAGTTAAACAAACACACCAAAAGTGAATTCTATGAACTGCCAAGTGAAGACGATACATTGGCCCAACTTGGAAATAGATGTAAATATATATGGCAAAGTTAGACGCTAACTCAGGATATTGGCAGTTACCAATGGATATTGAAAGCCAGTTAAAATCTACATTTACTACACCTTTTGGTCGGTTCTGCCCAACAAGGGGGCCATTTGGATTAACATCGCTCCCTGAAATTTTTAGTAAAAAAATGGATCAAGTTATTGATGGTCTAAAAGGAGTGGTTAAAAGTATTTCTTAGTTTTTGGAAATACAGAAATGGAATATAATGAAAACCTTGTAGCATTGCTAAGTAGATTTGCTGAAAATGGAGTTACCCTTAATATAGAGAAATGTGTATTCGATCAAACAGAAGTGGAGTTTTTAGGTCATAAAATATCAGCACATGGAGTAAAACCATTAACCAAAAAAATTGAAGCAATAAAAAATTTTCCGAAGCCAACAAACATTACGTTTTTACGTAGTTTTTTAGGCATGGCCCAAAAATCTAAATTCAATCCATCGCTTGCTAAAGTAGCCAAACCCTTGCGAGATCTTTTGAGTTCTAAATCAGCATGGTTTTGGACTGAAAATCATACAAGAGCATTCAATGAGGTAAAAAATAGTTTAACCAATCCACCCATTTTAGCGCACTACGATGTTAAAAAACCTGTAAAAGTAAGAACAGATGAAAGTTTATTAAATGGACTTAGCGTAATAGTTTACCAAAATCATGATGGTATATACAAACCAATTGATTGTGCATCTAGGTTTCTTACGACAACTGAAAAAAATTATTATTTGATCGAAATGGAAATGTTAGCAGTAACATGGGGGTGCACACGAATGTCTAAATATTTGTATGGTTTACCAAATTTTATACTAGAAACAGATCACAAACCATTAATTCCAATATCAAATTATCGTTCACTTATTGATATGTCTCCAAGAATTCAACGTTTAAGAATGAAGTTATTAAGATTTTCATTTACTGCAGAGCATGTTGCTGGCAAGTCTATTACTGATGCGGATGCAATGTCTCGTGCACCTGTATCTAATCCTACAAAAGAAGATGAGATTGCAGAAAATGATCTGAATGTATATGTTAATTCTATAATAAAAAGTATGTCTGCTACAGAGAGTCGTTTAGAAGAGATTAAGCAAAAAACTGCGGAAGATTTTGAACCAATTGCAAGAAAGTATAATTTCTGGATGGCCAAATTCAAAAAAATACTGTCCGGCAAATATCCAACCTTATTGGGATTTTAAAGATGAAATAGTTAAAATTGATGGACTCTTATTATATTAGAATAGAATAATAATCCCAGTTAGTATGCGGAGAGAAATTCTTTCAAAATTGCACGAAGGTCATTTGGGAATGGAGAAATGCAAACGTCGTGCACGTAAGAGTGTTTTTTTGGCCACGTTTAAACAACCAAATTGAACAGTTAATTAGAAAGTGCAAGGCATGTATGAAGTATTTCCCATCAAAGCCAAATGAACCTATGCTAACTCCTGATGTCCCAACACGGCCATGGCAAAAACTGGGAACTGATTTGTTTCAGTGGGCTAATAAATACTATTTAATTATTGTCGATTATTATAGCTTGTGGACTGAAGCGTTTCTGCTTCCAAATACTGGATCAGCAAATGTTATACAAGCTTGCAAAGAATCTTTTTCTAGAAATGGTATCCCTGAGGAATTAGTGTCAGATAATGGTACACAATATAGTTCGAAAATGTTTCGTCAATTTTCTCAACAGTGGCAATTTAAGCACATTACAAGTAGTCCACACTATGCACAATGGTTTAGCAGAAGCAACTCTAAAGTCAGTAAAACTGTTGATAAAGAAATGTTATATGTCGAATGAGGACATTTATAAAGGTATCTTAATTTTACGTAATACTCCAATAAAATGTGGTTTATCTTCAGCGCAACTATTACATGGACGTCAACTGAGAGATAATTTACCCAAGTTTCAATCTCAAAATAAGGAACAGTCGAAATATTCAAGAGAAATAGTCAAAGAGAGAGTTCAATCTAAAAATACTATGATAAAAATATTGGTGTTTTTAAACCATACGTCTATAGACAAGGTCAAACTGTTGCAATTCAAATCGAAGTAACTCATGAATGAAGTCTTAGAGGTAAAATAATGAAATGTGTTGCCCCTAGATCATATGAAGTAAAATTAAATCACAATGGACATATCCTTCGTCGAAATCAGATTCAACTTAGAAAAGTTTACTCTATATCGGCTCTAGGGGTAACTCGGGATAATGGGGCTATAATGCTCAGAAGACAAGCTATTCCGTCGCTTGAAGAGTGCATTAGTGGTACAACGTCATCGGAAATGGAGAGCGAGAATAATATAATAGAAAAGAACAATTTAGTTGAAAATACAAAAGATCGATTATCAAGTCGTGGAAGAAGAATAAAGAATAAAGTACCAATCGATTATGAAAATTTATGAACTAACTTGATTTCTTGACATTTATATATATATATATATATATATATAGTTTGTTTATTAGGGACATGTGTCATATATTATACATATATACGGCCCGATCTTATATATCGGTGCCGGTCTTTAAGGAGAATATATTATGAACACAACATAAACCATGTTCACATCATGGATCATATCACCCGAAATAATACAATAGGATTTGTGCTTGAGAATGCCTTCTTTTTTGAAATAAATAATCACTGGATGAAGTGTACATTGTAAATTTGTCCAATGAAAGCTTTGCACTTCATCCTAAACTACAAATTTATGGTTTTCTGAAAAATCACCCAGAAATAATGCTGTTACCTCATTCATATCTTCCTTTCTTGATCTCAGGTATAATGCTTGACTCTTTACTAAATACGAATGTGGTGCAAGTTTTTCCAGTTTTCTACATACTAGTTCAAAGTATTCAAACACTGGCTCTTTATTATGTGTCAAGTTTGACCTATCTGTTGTTGTCCATTGATCAAATTCAATCTCATCATCATCTTCAAATTTTCCAAGTATATCATAAAGTTTTTCAACCAATGCATTCATAGTTGCAGGGCATTTTTCACATTTCCTCATCATACAATCTTTATTAGTTATATCACAGACAATATAAGGTAACAATTCTTTGTATGTCACACCAAGAGGATGTAAAAGCAGTTTCAAATTCTGATGAATAGCACAGCACCAACAGTAATACACCATT